TACAGATTTTTGTTGAATTCGTTATCATCGGCATTGACAAGTGCACAATCATCGTCATTGTCATCCTCTTTATTAATGACAGCACCGAGTTTTTTTGTGTTTTTTGATTTACGAGAAACGTTATACCAACATTATTCTCCATCACTCCCCCCTTCACTATCATCGCCACCCATGTCGATATCGTCATCACCGGCATTATCATTATCCTTATAGTCATCATCACCTTCGGCATGTAGATCTTTATGATCTTCTCTTTTTGTCTGTCTTTGTTGTTGTCGTGCTGTGTTGCATCATATCTATCTATTTGCTATCACTGTTATCGACAGTTGATTCGTTCTCCACTGTTATCGACAGTTGATCCGGTTTCGGAGTCTTAGTCATATATATTTTGCAATTTTGCTTTAGCACTACCTATACGTTGTACAGTGTTAGAACTACCTTTACGCGACATGTTTAAGATTAGAATCGTATATTATATAATTCTTTATATGGTTACATATAATTTAATAAAATTTTTATACATAGAATTTTGAAAGAATGTTTATTACCTCATAATTTTTATGTGATCTACTTTTTCATGAATGTATGATATTCTCGACATTAGAACTTCAGACATTATAGATAAACTCATAAGTATAATTGCTGAAACCTACATTAAATGATCTTCTTTAGAAGCGTAATCAGATGCGAAAATTAACCTAAAACATATTTTTCTTACATGATATGTTAGAGTAAGAAAGATCTGTATTACCAATGAATGATTCGTTTTTTAATAAATGCAACAATCCAAGCCAAACATACTAAATTTCTCAGCAACGTCATGATAATAGTGTTGTCTTCTTATGACTCATATAGCACTGACGGAAAGGTAAATTAATAAAAAAAAGATGTTTAGTTTAGTTCATCTTTACTGTTAAGCATCTTATACACACATAGATAATGGCGTAGGTATCTACACTCTTTCTGAAATTGATTGCCTTGCGTGGAAGATTTTTAGTATAAACTTCACACTTTTTGTTTGGGTATTGATAGTTTCTTGTACGCAGCATTTTTCCCATGTGAACTCTGTTCTTATAGTTAGCTTTATTGATAAAGTCGTGAGTAGCAGTGACACCTTCAAGGTTTTTTGTTAGAATTCGAAAGCGAGATTTATTGGGTTTTGTGAACAGACAGTTTTTACAAACAATGAACAATTGTATATTCTCGTCAGAGTTTTCCATGTCTTCGATCATGTTTTTGATCAGCTTCTTAATCTTACCTTTTTTCGCCATTTCCTTGTGATATTCATTTTTGACCATCTCTTTAATATCGATTGTTTTAAGTTTATTATCTGTCAGTTTCTTATTGTTTTCGACTTATTTCAAAACACTTTCTAAATCAGGACCTACTTCAGATCCTTCATCCGAGTCTGACATATCTCTCGGTGTATCAACACTGTCATTATTTTCTGCTAGCAATGCGTGTAAAATTTCAAAAATATATTTCCACCTTTTTCACAAAATATATCATATGCATCAGTAGTCTGTAATCTTTTGTCTGTTTTTTACTTCAGCCTTTAAAATGTTTGTTTAATCAACGTTTTCTTTGACAATATTTTTTGACTTCCCTTTAGTTTTACCAGACTTTCGTTGAAATGGTAGATGATATATTTTTACTATTTATGAAAACGCATTGTCATAAGTTTTCAAATTTTACATCAAAATCTACAATTATTTGAGAAGCTCTGTGTCCTAACTAACTATTTTTTTAAACAGTGTGACGTTTTATTTTAGCTATCAACTAATCTATTTAGTCACCAACACTGGACAGATTCAGTCATATCTCTCATGGTTTTTCCTGTGTTAAACTCTTATTTAGATAAAGATCACAAATATATCTACCTGTTTATTGACACAATGTTACTTTATGTTTTAAAAAGATTTTTAAATTCTCAAAAATTAGTTGTTCTCAAATAACAGGTGTTCAAGAATCAGAAATTTCACGTTATTAGATGATCTCAAGTAATAGAAGTTCAAGTATTGGATGCTACTCGAAAAATAATTGTTCAGGAATTAGAATGTTCATGTAATAGATTGTTCGTGTATCAGATGTCTCAAGAATGATAATGATTAAGTAATAGATGTTTCAAGTATAAGATGACTCAAGTAATAGTTGTTCAAGATTAAGAATGTTTGTGTAATAAATGCCTCAAGTATTAGACGCCTCGAGTATTTGATGTCTCAAGTATTAGATATCTCAAGTATTAGATGTCTTAAATATTATATGTCTCAAGTATTAGTTATTCAGAAATTAGATGTCTCAAGTATTAGATGTTCTCAAGCAACAGTTGTTCACGTGTTAGAATTTTCACGTATTGAATGTTCTCAAGTGCAAGATGTTCAGGTATTAGATGCTACTCAAGTCACAGTTGTTCAGGAATAAGAATGTTCATGTAATAGACTAATCATGTATTAGATATCTTAAGTGTTTGTTTTTCTAAAGTATTAGTTGTTTTTAAGCATTAGATGTATTTGCATTTGTATATGTATTTGTATATATGCTTTAATATAATACTAGTAAAGTCATACATAACATTTAATATACAACTCCAGCTAACTATAACCATTACAACTACTGACTTCTACTGTCGCCATACATGCTCTAAAATTTTGACTATCATGTACAATTTACTCTAACACTCCTGTCAGGGTTATTATAACAATATACTTTCCCTCTGATATCTACTTAAAAAATGAATAATTCTACTCCAGCTCTGTTACATATATCATCTGATAGCTACTTAAAAAACGAAAAATTCTATTCATACATACATCTACTTAAAAACAAATAATTCTACTCCAACTCCGCTACATACATCATCTGATAGCTTAAAACACAAGTAACTATGAATATTATTAAGCAAATAACAGGCCATGATTTTCATAAAACAAATAATTCCACTCCATTTTAAATACTTCTCGTAACATCAAAGTCACGTGACTTATGCACTGTGATTCTTTTTACTTATACAAAATACCAAACACTTTTTCAAAACCTCATAATAACCGGTGAAACTACAAAACTCCATATGATTGTTATGTATTAGTGGCAATTTTTATAAAGATTATTAGTTAATAAATAAACACATTAGTTTTCGTTGTTATATTAATGTAATTCTAGTTTATTATTTTAAATCATCTAGTTATAATAGTTTGTTTATTCTCTAGAAACACGTCATAGGACTACTAAAAATCACGCGTAGCTTACGTTACATTTACTTAAAGGACCTTAAACTATTTTTTGTACTGATAACTCTTACTATTGAGGCATTCTACTACAATAGTTACACACGTAAACCACATTATCTATTTACATTACACATACCTAAATGAACTCAAAGCAGTTCACAACTCTCATTGACCCATGCTACACTTTGACAAAACACTGGACACTCAAGTCAAAAAACATGGACACTCAAGTCAAAAAACTACTTACTATTGTTTGCAAGTTGTACTGAACCCTGCTAAGAGTCCTCTGGTCCCAGTGTCAATTTAGGAGTTTGTGGTAATCGTCCTGACTGGATACTCTGAGAATAGTCCATTTGGGATAACACAATGGGATACCTTAAAAAGATACCCTTGTTTAGACCCAGAGTGGAACTTCTTTTGGGATACCAGTCTCGGATAAAAGCTAGATGTCTTCATGTGTTGATACTCCACCATAAGGCACAGATCTATACTGTGCTTGAGACGTTCATGACTCTTTTACTGTGTGTTTAATATCCTTATAATACAAACCAAAGGGTGACTACTTATAAAACGAATAAATCTACTCCATTACCAATTCTATCTATACATCACATTTACGCTGGACTAACAACAGTTTAATAGCACAACAACTAATGACTTTCTTTGTCTATAGCTTATTATTCTTATTTATTTTTTACTACATTTTACTTATACCAGTTTTAAAAAATTTTTCAACTTTGAGGCTCTTTGTTTTCTACTGGACATCTGTCTTTTTGTACTTTTATCTCACTCTGCTAAACTCTTTTTAACTTATTATTCATCCCTAAGGCGTTCACTGCTCGGTGCAGCTTCACTAAAATGCATTGCATTTACAAAAAAATAATTTTTTTTTTGAAAAAATTCCTAATTAATGGATATGTCCACCTTAAGATGTCAAGATTTTTTTGAATTTGACAAGGAATTTTCTAACTACGTTTTACGAACTGAAATTATTACTAAAGTTAAATGAGAAAAAAAATAACTGACAGTAATCCAGTTATAAGTCTAACCTCGGTTTAATTAATATTTAATAAAAAACAAAAAAAAAAAACATATAAAAGTAGTTTGTTAATTTTGCTAAATAGAAATATCATCAAAATTTTGGGCACATTAAGTTCTCTTCAACTTTACCGCTCGGTATAATTTATTAACTGCTGAATTAAACAATAATAAGCGAAAAAAAAAATAGGCAGCTCTTGATGACGATAATGATAAAAAATCAGGCTCTATAAAATTTCGAAAGGGTTAGTGTTTGTAGGTATGCTTTACTCGTTGTAATTAAAAGAAATCATAAACAAGTGCCACGAATCTAAAATATCAATATTTAAAAACAAATTTTCTCTTAAAAAATAATAGTTATTGGTAATGTAACTTCATTGGGAATGTATTAGTTATTGGGAATGTAAAAAATATATTAGTTAATGGGAATGTAACTACATTGGAAATGTAACTTCAAAGACAAATAATCTAAAATCTAAGATTTTACTGTAAAATTGAAAAAAGTTTCGGGCCTTTGCTGAAAACGGACAATAAAAACAATTTCTTAATCTTAAATGGACAAACAAAAACAAATTTAATGATAAAATTTTAATTGCAGCATAAATTTACATTCTAATAGAAACGCCTCAAGATTTAACTAGGTATATTGATTTAAAAGAATCATTTTAAAAAATATGAAATTAGGAATAGTTTTTTAGTCAGCATATATTGATACAGATTTTTTTATTCGATTCGTAAAAAGATATAAAAAATACAAAGACAATGTTTAAAATGTATTTAAAAAATGTTTGTTTTATAAATATTACAGTATCTTTAGATGTGCGTTATAACTTCATTCATCTTTGTTACACTTTATTCATTAAACATGAAAATGTTGTTTGTTTACTTTGCGTTTTCGTTAAGTATGTTAGAGATTTAGGCGTAAAACTTGAGACATTATACGTTATCATAGACAAATTCCTAAAAATAAAACTGCTGCAATTACCAGTGATATAAAAAATATATGTGGCATAATCACCATTTGTTGCAATAATGTAACAATTTTTGAAATATTTAAAGAAATATTGAACAATATAAAAGGTTAATATTATTATGAATAATACTTACAATGTATTAGTGACGACAATTGCCAGTATAGATTTGAGAACCATCTATCCGGTATTACATAACTTCACCAAGCTATATGCATTTCTAATAACAACAACTGGATTGCTGGTATCATTACCAAGCTATATGCATTTTAAATAACAACAACTGGATTGCTGGTATCATTACCAAGCTATATGCATTTTAAATAACAACAACTGGATTGCTGGTATCATTACCAATCTATTTGCATTTCCAGTAACATTAACTCGTTGTTATATTTACCAAGCTATTTGCATTTCCTGTAACATTAAATCGTTGTTATATTTACCAACTAAATGCATTTTCAGTATCATTTGATTGTTGTTATCGTTATTAAAGTATTGCAATCCCAGTATCATTTCATTTTTGTTACCGTTAATAAACTATATGCAAAAAGATACCCAGTAGCAACATCACTAGCATAATTTTCTTCAGTAAGTTGTAATGAAAAATAAACATTTTATAATAAAAACTGTAATATTAATATTGTAAATGATTATTTGGTCAAAGTGTAGTATGATTATTTGGTAAATGTATATGATATACTCATTTACATTTACCAAATAACCATTGTACACTTTTACCAAAAAGTCATTTACAATATAAATATTACATGCAAGATTGCAAATAAACTTACCAACACACAAACAAATTGATCATATTTTTAAACGTTGTTACCTTTTAACAGTTAAATATCACAGGTTACCTTTCCAATAATTCAAAACCCAACTTTTAGTGTAACGGTTGAAGGACCGATTTTAGTTGTCTTTTCATTTTTGAAAATAGGTATATATCATATATATATATATATATATATATATATATATATATATATATATATATATATATATATATATATATATATATATATATATATATATATATATATATATATATATATATATATATATATATATATATATATATATATATATATATATATATATATATTATATATATATATATATATATATATATATATATATATATATATATATATTATATATATATATATATAATATTATATATATATATATATATATATATATATATGTATATATATATATATGTATATATATATATACATATATATATATATATATATATATAATATATATATATATATATATATATATATATATATATATATATATATATATATATATATATATATATATATATATATATATATATATATATATATATATATATATATATATGTATATATATATGTATATATATATGCATATATATATATATATATATATATATATATATATATATATATATATAATATATATATATATATATATATATATATTATATATATATATATATATATATATATATATATATATATATATATATATATATAATATATATATATATATATATATATATATATATATATATATATATATATATATATATATTATATATATATATATATATATATATATATATATATATATACATATATATATATTTATATATATATATATATATATATATATATATATATATATATATATATATATATATATATATATATATATATATATGTATATATATATATATATATATATATATATATATATATATATATTTATATATATATATATATATATATATATATATATATATATATGTATATATATATATATATAAATATGTTTATAGATCAGGGATGCAAAGTAGTTGGTTTTAACTCAAAAATAACTAACTTGTCGTAACTGTGAGGAAGGAATTCCCTAATACAATACAAAGCATAGCTGTGAGAGATGATGTTTTCCTTTTTTCCAAGAAACTATATTTAAAAGATTGGTTTTGTCTTTCAGTGCCATTATCAGTATTGATACTCCGCAACAAGCGTTGTCGACTGTTGGCAAACACTTATCTCTAAAAAAGAAGACTTGTTCAAAAAGAAAGGGAAAACTTGTGTTTTCAGAGAGAATAAGTGTTGATATTTAAATCTATAAAATTGTTTTTGTTTAAATTAGTATATTTTAAAATTTAAAATTTTTTATATAATCATTTTTACAAACGAAATATGCATTAATGGCAATAATAATATAAAAATTTGAAAATTACATCAGTTTACGCTTAATAAATTAAAAATTCTAAATTTTTATTTTATTTTATTAAAAAAACTTAAAATATTGGAACAAAAAAGGCAAACAAAGTCATGTTGGCAATCAGCAGATTATTTTCTGCACTGGTCAGATTTACGGATTTGGTTATGAAGAGGCCAATTTGGCAACCCGGAGTAAATAGTATGCAAAATTATCTTTGTCAGAACCTCCTTAATGATGAACAAAAATGAAAATATTTCAATTTTGTTATATTTAAATGAAACTAAATCAACCTTTTGATTACATAACCATGTGCTGTTTAAGTATTCAGCTAGTTTTGGGTTATTTTTCCACTCTTCTGAATCTTTTAATTAATTAACAGCATTTTGGCAAATTTCTACTGTTTTAGCATGAGCAAATTGATGTAGTTTTAACTTAACTGCATCTTTTACCATATAACAACCATTAGCAGTTTTAGAAAGCCATCGTTCCCAAGATTGCTCTCGATGAAAGTCACAAATTCAAACAGAACACCTTAAAAACAGCAAGTTGGATTTGGTTTAAATGTTCATATAACAATAAAATATTAAATAAAACACAATAAATGAATAACAACGTTAACCTGGAAACACTGATTCTAATGAGTTTATTTCTTCATTTGAATAATCAGTTAAAAAATATTTTGGTTGAAATTTAGGGTTCCATTCTTTAATGCACATTAATCCTTCTGTGATGGCGTCTGTAGTTTCATTCTCAAGCGCAAAAATGGCAACAACCTGGTACTCAATATTAGTTTTAACAACCAGAAAAAATAGCGGAAGAGCGTATCTAGTTGTACAATATGTTGCATTAAAAAAAGCTAGTTCAGGTCCATACCGTAAGAGTAATCTTTTCTGCCACATATCTTGATATACGAACAATAATGA